TATCCACTAAGTTCTCAGAAAAGAGGATTACTAAATAGATGTGTTTTACATGATCGGATATATAGGAAAGAGGGCAAAGTAAGTTCTGCAATGTCATCTAACTTGTCTCATTACTAGGATTAAACTTTCGAACCACCAGTCATCGAAATTCAAAAGCCTATACACGAATAAATTTTAATGTACAATATAATACAACTGAATAATTTCACTAGCGGACAAAGCACGGAGGCTTCTCCACATATTGTTGTTCATCATATGACAATAATATGTACGATAAAATATACATAAATTAACATATAAATTCATTTTAATCGTATAAATTAATTAAATTTTTTTTTAAATATAACAGATAGTAAAGTAAAACGAAAAATCAGGAACTTTCCCAAATATACAACATATATATGTGTATAACAAATAATTTTAAAAATTAATATCATATCTCTTAAATGTATATTTGCACAGTTGTTAAAAATTCTTTTATAATTTTAAATCTGGATGTACAATACACATTGCATATATTTTAAATATCTACTAATAAAAGCTCTTTATATCAATACAAAAAATATATAAAAAGTTGATACTAACATTCATTAATTCAACCTGTATTTTGTTAAATATCTATGATATGTATCAAAATTACATATAATCTAAAAACGGTGCAAAAAGTACTATTTCACAAAGAAGCACATTACTGTCACGATACCGATCACGATAGAAAGCAGAAGCTGTCGGGAAAATAATAGTGCGTGATCGATATAATGTACGTGATATGTATAAATCTCTTTACAAGATCCCTGCCAGTAAAAATAAAGATGTGAACAGACAGTGTCTGCGAACGATAAAGTGAATGAAGAAATATTTTATCGTTTATTTGGCACACGCGAGATAACGCCCGCGGCGATGCGAGATCATAGTACAAAGTAGATATCACGTGAACACCAATATCCTATAACTTTTCATTTTCGCAATCGCGGTCGAAAAATAGAGATTTTTGTGATAAAATAGCAACAGAATCTACAAAATTCAATAGATTTTTCCAGATTTCCAACGAAAATTATTTCCGTATTCATAGTAAGAAAATATCTCGTATACGAAATAAATAACGTGAAGGGAATTAAAATTAAAGAAAGAATGACGTGAAATAAGAAAATAATAAAATAAACAATGTGTGTGTGTGTGTGTGTAAAAGATTTCTGTTCCGCAAAAGTATGTAATAATGTACTAAAACGAAATCGAAAAACGAGAAATCAATACACATGAATCGTAAACGTAATGTAAATTGCTGATTAAATAAACCTATGTTTGACTCGAAACGGCCGTTCAATTTGAAACTAAGTTGATAACGTAAAGTTACAGATAAATTGCTTCGTATTCAGCTACGGGATAAAATTACAACACATCGTTGTAACAACAGCAACCATCGTTCGCTTCGGCGTCTACATAATTCAATAATGAAACGCGCGATGAGATAATGAACGCATAGAATCTTGTCACGCGTCAGCGTGATTATATCTTCAGCGACATATGTTTCGAAATATCGCACCGTCATTGTCAGCTTTCTAAAGAGTAACAAATTCAACGCATTCGCAATTTTATAAAACGCATAAAAAGGGAGCTATAGAATTGTCCCGCTTTAACGTGTAATAGAAAATGGATCGAGAACTACCGCCTTTTCCGGAAGATATTAATAACAGTATCGACGACTTGGGACTACCATATATATCTACAGAGAAAATCTGCAAGATACGCGATCCGTTCGTTTTTAATCTAAAGGTTGAATTTTTCGATTTAATTGAAATAAAATGAACGCAAACGCGAATGGATGCACAAGTTTATTTCAATGAAGTAACGTCGAACTTAATTTAAAATATAAACAAAATAATTTTATGTATAAATAAATTATCAGTTCAAAATAACTCGGTCAAATAATATCTGTATAAACGATTCGATTGTATAATAATGACGTTCATGATAAAACGAAATTTCTTCTCGATCGTAATCAATGACACACAAACGTAAAAAGGACACCCGCGTGCGATTTTGATATACAATACATTACTGTAATTTCGTATTCCCGGACACAGACGCGATGCTCGTACATTCGATGAGTTCTCGTGTCATTTTGCTCGGCCGATGCTTGTCACGTGATAGTACCTATTCATAGGACATCCAACCTGTAACGTTGGTTACAACGATAATACATGCTCGACGGTAAAAGCGTCGAGTAAATTTATTATACGCGAGAATTTATGCTCTCTTCATATACCTGCGTGTAATTTAAATTTATATAGTTAAAATTAAAGCCAGAGTTTAAGGGCCAAAATTGTAAGCTTGATGTGATGTATCGTTAAAAGTACCGACGGTATGTACTACGCCATTGTGGTGTCGCAATAACACGCACATTACAAACGTTACAATTAAATTAATCCCATTATTTTGACAAATAATTACGTACTATATTTAAAAATAATATAAAAAAAGAGAAACAAGGTTTTTAAAACAATAATATATAAAAACGTTATTCCTATCTATCCCTTATAAATTTTGTATTTTTAAAGTCTGTTTCAATTCACTTGTGTAAACTGTTGCAGCTCCGCCGTCATGTTAATGACGCATCAACAAGCATCAATCTGATCAAACGACATTGGGTATCCCTGGTGTGCAAACCGTAATCGAAGACCACCGCGGAACAAGTGGATGCTGCGTACGCGCGGTGCACCGCCGGTGTCTCTTGAGAAATTACACGTCACATGCATGTGAGTACCAGAGAACGTGCAAGTAGTCGCAACAATCACTGCTAGAAAACGTACTCGACAGGAAGCCGAGAAAACTGCGACCCTATTCGATAATTCTCGTCTCTTATTGTTGTATTTATTTCTCAAGACTATTTATTTATCAAGCGTATGGTAAACATAAAAAACATTAACTTGGACGGAGATGACTAACGGAGTAGAATATATTCTTCTGAAGATTAATTGAAGTTGAAAATTCGCAATTATGGAAATGTCGAGGTCGCAATAAATTTCGCGACAAACAATCAAAGTGGGCCAATGATATCGCACAGAGTTATTCATGCTCATATCTGCATTATATATCAATCTATAATTTTTGATAACTTTCAACTCAGGTATTGATTTTTATATCTGAACTAAAAATAAAATAACAATAGAAAGATAAAAACGATTTAGTAAATTATGTGATACTGCGATTAATCTGCACCATTGACTCATATAATTTGAAAATTATACATATTACTATTTTATAATCTATTACTATTAATTTGCAATAATTATTAATTCAGTTCTCTCTGTGTAAAAGTCATTATAATAGTCAGACGAATTAACGTATTACAAAGAGTGAAACCATTTGGCAACGTTTAATTTTTTTTAAGCAATGTACACCGCGACAGATAAATCCATCCAATGGCAAAAAGAAAAAAATACAAGAAGAGGCGAATGAGCAAAAAATTCTCAACAGCCATTCACAATAACCAAAATATAAACGCGAAAGTGGTTCCTTCGGCTGGACGCATCGTCGGTTCATACCGTAGCGGCCTGCAAAATTTTGAAAAAGGACGAACGCAGAATAAATTTCGCCCATTCGCGAATTCTCAATGATTTATTGTACAGAAGAGTTCGTCGAAATCAACACTACTTGCTTGGTATATATTTACAAAATATATGCAATGACAGCAAGCGTTTTGAGCTCCACGGTCGGCGACAGCCGTTTGTTAAATACAGATAACATATTAAATAAGAACTTGGTATGTGTTGTTGATTTTTAAAGCGATTACAGAAGTATAGCGATATGTTCGTTAGATATTACATGCGTTGTTTTTCTTTCAGAAAAAGGAGGTCAATTCTATGAGAATTCTACTGAATTATTATTCCAAGATGTCAACTTGAACTTTATTGAATTTATCGTATGTATACTTGGGTGAATAAGTAACCTTAATGTCTTGATTTCTGAGGACAAAATTAAAGTTACTTATTGACTTACTGAACATTAAATTCTCGACATTGTGAGGTAAAGTTCACAAAGTCAGCTGACTGTATAAGCACTTGGGAAGGCTGCTTTAATTTATGAAATACAAACGCGATTATACAACACGTTTGCGGAAGTGCTGTCGTTTATATACTTGCTGAGTTCTCATGGGACATCATATTCACGGAATAGATACATACGGTACATACATGTACATATATCAGCCCGTACTATTACAGAAGAATAAATCGTACGAGTCGATATCGATAAAGCGCAGTGCCGATAAAAGGGACAAGAACTACTGGGTTCACGAATTTTCGAAGGGCAGAAAAGCAAAAAGAGAAAATATTTGTGCAAATACGTTATTTTTTTACATCCGCGGGAGAACGTTTGCAAAATAAGTTTGCTTTTCTACCTAGTATTCCTCGCTATACTTCAAATTTATCCACACTCACGTAGGATGATGGCACGAGTGGTAAATGCACAATGTAAAAATTTTACATGCTTCGATGCACGAAATACGAAAACATCGAATAATACGCGGCAAGAATATTAAAACTGTTATCAATTTGCTTGTGCACGTAACGGGTACGACGAAACTAGCGCGCATAAATAGCTCTACAGTTATGAAAAAAAAGTAGTTCGAAAAAGCTACAGTAAAACACTGATCGATCAATTCCCAGAAGTCGGTATATGACTAACACATTAATTTACAATTGTTACAGATGAATATAGGTTTAACGTAAATAATAGGTTAGTAATAACAGGCCAATTATGTTGCATTTACATTATCTTTCAATAAAGTTTACTAGTAAATTATTCGTAATTAAGGCATTTCTCATTATTAAAGGTGATAGCTATATTAAATTGTATCTCAAATAAATATCAAGGATATCTCACGATCCGATTAAAATCACCTGAACGAGATGATGGTGGTAATAAGGGTCATTAAATTAAAGCTGGATGCGAACGGCACGTTTACAGGATTATAGTGACAATGGGGAAACAAAACTCACGTTCTCTTCGACGGTCTTCTTGATTTTAGCGCTGGCCTCCACCACGGTCTTCCCAGCCTTGTTCACGGCGCTGTACAAGAACCCACCGAGGCTCTTCGCACCAGCCAGTGCCTTCGTGGAAACTGGTGGCAGAACAGGAAAAGTAAAATGAGAATGAATGCGACGTTTGTGAGAGAGAGAGAGAGAGAGAGAGAGAGAGAACTGTGCCTTTCTTCGCAGTTAACTCAACGTTAAAAGAAACACCGTTAAAGTAGGTCGTAGTTATTACATAAAAATAAACCGGTGTGAAGTTCTACAACTATTTTTCTTTCAAATAAGAAAGATATTATTTATAATCGTCTCTTAGAAAATAGCTAATTAAATAAAAACTTCAAGTTATTTAACTTAATTTTGTTCAGTTTCTTATTGGAAAATGTGTAAAAATCAGGAGTTGCTTGATATTAACTATGAAACAGCTGTCTGTTTCACTGATAACTCTGTCGCTTTTTTTAAATTTCTTTTTCCATATAATTTCTTTATTAAAGTTTAATTAATTTTTTCTTTATTAGACAATTCTTTATTATGGATATAAGTTTAGTGTAAGAAAACACTCTTATGCATCATTAAAAAAATAGGGTATGTTAATTTTTAAAAAATGTAAAAAAAATGTTTATTGAGCGGAACTCTTCGTCTCGTCAAAAGGAAGTGGGAACTCTAATCAGAACTCCTGAGTACTATAGTTGGGGTGCTAACTTAACATACCCGACTCCTTTGCCAAGAATTCTGACTTCAGCATTTATCACGATCCGATGAGAAAAGGAAATGGAAGTACGACGATAGTGATAGGAGTGACTGGTGAAAATCGCTTTTCCAAAGCAAAATGTTACGGGATGTCTGACATTAAATATTATACTATTACTGTATGTAACTTTGGATATATTCCATCGCCAGATGTTTCCGACGTACGATGTAAATCTATTACAATGCGCCGTAGAGAAGCGAGAGAAGTCTGGTTTGTAAAATCTCATGTACTTAAACTTAATATACCTCCCAGGTCAAAAACAAATTGAGCTATACTAGTTGTTAGAAATACATATAAATTTATTATTAATAATTACATCGGTATATACGGAAAAGTTTCGACTTCACAGAGTCCTCAACAATCGCAACCGAATTCTTAAAAATTAATTAATTTTTTTATATATATTTTTTTTTTGTATATTGCGAAGAATATCACAAGCCGGCGTTTCGTTCCAGCCTCCACTACTAGACTCCTCAGTAAGGTAACGTAGGATATCAATTTAATCTCATGTATTTATTTTTAGTCGTCTCTCTCTCTCTCTTTCATTCAATATTGCAAATCGTATCCAATATCGCCTTTAAAATGTAGATGTCATAATTAAGGATGTATCAGATGTATTATTAATACAATCTCTAAAAGTGACTTGAAATGTGTATACAATTTTATAGTTCAAATGAAAATTTTTTCATTTTGTCTTAATTATTTTTTTTTAATATCTATTTTTTATTTAAATAATTTTTTATCCAAGTTTTTTTAATCGTCGCCGAACTTTTTGTATTACTTTCAGATACAACATAGAAACATTTTTTTCATAAGTTTTTCATTTGTAAAAAATACTTGTAATATACATTCTTAAATATAAATCACAAAATGTATATATATATATTTTTTTTTCCACGTAAATTTTACCAAAATAACGCAGTAGCAGTTTTGTTCTTCCAAATCCGTAGTTTGAAATTAAAATCACATAGGGTGTATCAAGTTTAAAAAAGCAGATGCCTCCTCTTTCCTTGCACGTCCCATTTTACGTTCCATCATGCGGCTAACACGCGGATAACGAATATTAACTAACGAACTGTATACATGTATCTCACCATAAAATAAAAAATAAAATAACGTCCGTGGGAAAAGCATCGCTACATCATATAGGACATATTGAAGAGATACGCGACGCAATATACTTTGTTGTCTAAACCGCGCCTCATAAATAGATTGTCATTTGATCGCCTAACGCATCGACAGCAAGTTACAGTGACATTTACACTTTCAATAAAATAGAAAACGATTCACCTTTTCTCATAGCTTTAACGACTAGTGGAAAAGGTCGGCTGCTGCTCTTGGTCTTCGGTCGCAGCGCTTCAAACTGCCATGTCATAGCGTATCTCACCGTACGTACCAACATATTAATGCTATTTCGTCGTAACCTGGAGCATTTTAGAGGTAGTTTCGCGGAAAATTGTAATGACGAGTTTCTTCGCTAATTTAATTCGCAGAGATTTTATTTGAGACATTATTTTATAACTTATTTCATATATAGACCACTACAGTATTCAATCTCAAACTTTAATTTTTATATGATCATATTAAATCATTCATATAAAAACTTCTGATGGAACATACTTGCATAATATGCTTTCAATCAAAATAGTATTATAAATAAACCATTTAGACATAAATCTACAAAATCACAAGCTAATTTTTATAGATATCGTGAAAACGTGATATTTCTCTAAAATTCAAAAGAAAGGAATAATAAAGATTTAGAGGTTTTTGACGAAAAAACTCTCCAGAGGAATCATGAACGAATGTGGTAGATTGCCTTTATATCATAAAGCCATAGAAACGTAACTGGAAGTTAAGTCACGTAGTTTCAAAATGGGACACACATTTTGTTTTAATCTCACAGCAGCTGTACACCGCACAGGGTATGTTAAGTTAACACTCCAACTATAGTACTCAGGAGTTCTGATTAGAGTTCCCACTTCCTTTTGACGAGACGAAGAGTTCCCTATAGTTAATAACAAGAGTTCCGCTCAATAAACATTTTTTTTACATTTTTTAAAAATGGGGTGCTAACTTTTTGTCGAATTTCGAGGTGGAATAGTTCTGAGCGGCTTAATAGCTTCAATTTGCGATTGCCTAGAGTTCCTGATATGTACAAAAAATTTTCGAATAATAAAAAAAAATTAAAAATTTTTGAAAAATTAATTTTTAGATACAATAGTTCTGATGATAATTCCTGCTTCTTTTTGACGATACGAAGAGTTCTCTATGATTTTTAATGACATTTGCGCTTAATAATCGGAACTCTTGTTATTAACTATAGGGAACTCTTCGTCTAGTCAAAAGGAAGTGGGAACTCTAATCAGAACTCCTGAGTACTATAGTTGGGGTGCTAACTTAACATACCCCACCGCACGATCAACATTGCGCGACAAAACGACGTCACGTCTTTTAAAGGATATTTGGAGCATTCACATGTAGCTGCTCGAGAAAATTCATGAAGGTGTGTCTTTAGCATGCACATAGGCCAGGATATGTAGAAATTGCCTCCGTATAATTTGGTTGCCTCCGTAAACCAAAGGCGATTTAATCAACCGGATTGAAGCACTTCAATTCGCGCAGCTTCATCCCTGCCTATCTCCATCCGCTGCGAGCAGGAGACCATTAAAGGGAACGAATCTGCGTAAAATACACGTGGCTTCGTACAACAGTGCACCACACAACGCTTAATAACAGCTTCCTGTTCCACAAGGTATATACGTGCATCGGATAATGGATGCCGGAGTCTAAAAGTCTAGATTACGCAGCAGGCTAAATTCTTACCGAGGTATCCGAGGATTGTTAAACAAGTGTCAAGTACCATAACCGTCCTTGTCACATCGAGATAATTTGTCGCTGGATGAAAACCATATAAATTACATCGTACGTGAAGGTTCCGAAATGCTAGACAATTTTGTTCTCGCGGGAATCTTGGTACAAAGCCAAGAGTAATACAGAACCAACGGAATTTTAATGTTTAGGAAGAAAAAAAATTATCTTCGAATAAGATTAGCTCTTTTTCTCTCTTTCTTAGAGTTTCTCGTTATTTTTGTATTTGGATATTATAAATAAATATCAGAAGACACACACGCATACGCATGTACGCACACGGCAGTATTTTGAATGTTAAGCGAACATTTAATATTTCTTTATTTATTTTAAATGGTTATTATCTTCGAGGTTGGCAGTGTAATGAGAAATGACGTCGAACTAACTGTTGTCAAATACAAGCGCTTAAAGAAAAATCCCTCAGGAGAGCTGGTTGACCAACGAAACCCGTTGTAATCAAAATGCCGTAATTGCGGTGCCAGATGGATGATGTATGATATGCGTTTGTTAACGAGATTTATCTCGCAAAACAGAATTTCAGTAGCGACCGTTCAACGAAAAATTACAAAAAAGTTCACTCGGTCGATGTCGCTTGACAAACTTTCTCATGACAGAACTCTGAGATAGACGTGACGAGAAATCTCGCGCTACACGTCATCAGTAAGAACACATCTCACTTAAATGATGTCACAAAGAGCCACGCACGAAAAATTTTTTGACATATGATCGTTCGATTTTACTGACTTCACGGTAACTTGTGCGACATTCGTGCAATGTTTTGATAAGATATCAATGTGATTTCGATAAGAAGTTATCAATATTATCATTAAAAATAAGACAATCAATACATGTCGAAATCATAAACATATAAGAAGGCAGTATTTATAGTCAGTTCTTGTTTTAAAACTGTACCATTTTAAAATTTGCTAATATTGTTCTGTGATTAATTTTTCTAACATTTTAAGACTGTACTTAAATACTTGCCATAGAATAGAATATATTATGTCTATGACCGAAACGAATTTTCTTGATTGTGCGCGAAATGGCGTAGCTATAAAATCTTCAATTAAAATATTCCAAAATACGACAAGTTTAATTCAGAATATTCTTTTAGTTCTTGATTTGCTATTGCATTCAATTTAAATCCTAAAATTTATTTTGAAAATTGTGTCTCCTATGCTGGAAACTTATCAAAATATTTCATTATTACACATCAAGTGTAATGCCATAAAAAGAAAATTTAGATGTAATCATTATATGATAGATCCGAAGCTCTAACGGGTTAAAAGATATAAAGTGGCTTGTCTGGCCGCTTTATATAATTCTCGTGCTTAAGCTTAGAAAGGTCGCATATATAGTAATGGAACTCCTTTGTGATATTAATGGCACAATCCTTATGTCATAGTCTCTTGTCCGGTATATTCCAGGTTGATGACGTCGATAATTGTGTAATATGTCGGAAGATAGTGG